GCTGCAATACGGTCGGCAGTCGGGGTCGGCGGTCGGCAGGCATGCAACCCTGTGGAGGTGTGTATTGCAAACACGGCCACACACACACACACACAAAGACACACAACGACACACCCACACACACACACACACACACACACAAAGACACACAAAGACACACCCACCCACCCACACACACACACACACACGCACACACACACACACACATTATTATTATTTTTTATTTTATTATTATAATTATTATTATTATTATTATTATTATTATTATTATCAGTAGTAGTAGTAGTAATTTATTATTATTATTATTATTATTATTATTATTATTATTATTATTATTATTATTATTATTATAGTTACGGCCGCCGCTCACCAGGGCTTCGGTTGCTAGCTTCACCATAATAGGAGTTACCAACTTCTTTCACCTTCCGGCACTGGGCAGGTGTCAGCCCCCATATGTAGTCTTTCCATTTTGCGGAGACCTGTGTTTTGCATAAGCAGTTGCCTGAGCCTGGTCACTGTGACCTCCTGTATAAGGAGGTGCCCCTTCTCCTGAGGTTACGGGTCTATTCTTATTGCTGGAAGTAGTATTATTATTATTATACTATTACAATTATTAATCATTTTATTTCTTGTTCATTTCCCTCAGTGTTTTCCTTGTGCTGTTGTCCATTTGCTGCATGGTTTGGCCTTGTCCCATGTGTTTCTACGTGCCTAAGTCTAGTACCTTTCAATCAGCCAAATGGTTGGTGCCCATTTGTGTGGAGTGCCTGCAACACTATTTGGGGGATGCTGTTTTTGTGATGTTTATAAATAGTTGGTGCCCATTTGTATGGAATGCATGTGACATTATGAGGGGAATGCTGTGTTTGGCATGCCCGTGTGTCTGTCTTTTCCGGTTGTAAACAGACATTTATCGGGTGGCTTCCTGACTCCATATGGTGGCATGAACCACAGTCAGCAGTGTTTTCCATATGATGTGTGTATGCGGTAGTCCACCTTGTTCCTTTCTGTGTTCATAGGTTTCTGAGTTGCTGAGTGGCTTGCTGTGTTGGTGCACCGCCCGGTGCCCACCTGCCAGCTCCCTCACTTGCCTTGGTATGTGCTGCCTACCATCTTCACCCGAATAGAACGCCCAGTCATTATACCCATATTTGGTGCAAATTTCAGTCCAGATACAGCTATAATGACCGGGCATTCCATTCGGGTGAAGACATTAGCGCTACCATGTTGAGCCCCTTGCTGTGTTGTTGTGTGCCTGCCCTCCCACCTGCTCAGTGCTTACCTTCTCGCCTGCCGGCTATACTTTGCTATGAGTTGCCTTGTCTATACTGTGCTGCATGCTTTGTGCAGCTATGCTTTGCTATAAGTTGCCTTGAAGCAGATTTTGACTCAAAGTATAGTGAGGGGAGCATACGTGTGGGGAGCTTTGGGACTAGTTCTGTCAGCCTGTGTAAATGTCCAATAGCAAATATCTCCTATATAACTAATGGGACAGAGAATGAGTGAGAAGCAATTTGTTATGCCTGGGAGTGAAGTACCACAGAGTATATATTGTCACAAATCTATGAACTAAAAGAGCGCACTTTGCAAAACAAACGGATAAAAATACACAGGACAAACATGAAGAGCACACTGAAACCATTCATTTTTACCATTCTTCTTTTCACTCCCCCTTCACTATGCCTCTCACTTACAAGGCTCACCACGTTGACGAAGTTTGCTCGTGTCGCTTGCTTAATATCAGCCTTGACACGACACCAGTTTCCCGAAGCAGCTTCAGTGAGAAGGCGATGCAGTAGTACAAATTATGAGTTAGGGACCCGGACGAAGATCAGCAGCAAATGGCCTACCCGAAAGAGGTACAGAGTGAGGGGTTGTTGGTAAAAGGGGTGCAGCATGAGAGTCAACAGGTGTTGGTGAGGGGGGTGCAGTGCGAGAAGGATCAGCTGCTGCAGGAACAGACGGAGCAGCAACAGATTTGGTAGGGAGGGAAACAGGAAGAGCTGAGGTATGAGGAGGTTGAGGGGGCTCAGGAACAAAGGGGCAACGACCCATTTGTGTCCAATGTTGAGGGCGGAAGTGTTGTCATGGAGACGGTGAAGGACTGCATTGAAACCGATGGGGTGGAGAGTTTGAAGTTTCCGAACCCAGAAACCCTCGCGGGGTGCAGCAGCCCACCGAAAGAGGGCAAGACCTTCAGACATATGATAAACGGCGGGATCGATGCATTCCAAAGGCCAAGCCACAAAGTTGAATGCTGGTTGCCCACACATTGTACAATAGAGATAGCACTGGCAAAAAGCAGCAGAAGGGTACAGCATATGCCAGTATATGTATAATATGTGGGGCAACATAGAATAACTGATATGGGATATCACACACACACACACACACACACACACACACACACACACACACACACACAAAAGGAGGGCATACTTGAACTGGTACTGTCACCGCACATCCCGTACCATGCCCCTCGGAGCTCATAGCCTCAAGCTGCTGATGGCCACTGCCCATGGGCCTTTTTGTGGTAGCAGAAAAATGATGTGGTTTTAGGGCATACTCACACCTGGACCTTTACCCTTTTTTTGTGGGGGGGGACTGTTTCTCGATTTTTGTGTGTCATCCTTCGCAGGGGTCACGCTAATCTTCTTTGTATCCTTCCAATTTTAACGGATGTACTGAAATGCCTGAAATTCCTCTGATAGCTGAAATGGCTAAGATTGCTGAGACGGATAAGTTGAACGGTTTGATTGTCTGCAAAGTTGAGGCTGGTTGCCTGGCGTGAAACCTATTTTCTACAGTGTTTTCCAGCATTTCGTACCCTAGCTATCATGGTCATACATTTGCTGCCTGTAAAACCACCAGCACCCCCCTTCGCTACGAGGATGGGTCAGTCAACACGGTGCTGAATTCATGTTGGGCCCACCCGACAGGACAGGCCCAGGGAGGGGCCAGAAAATCTTGTCCCCACTTTCGCAATTTTTCGCTTCATCCCCTTCAACAAGAAACTCCCATAAACATCATACATGTAGGGTACATAATGGTGCAAAACAGAGAGACAGCAGAGGGGAGAGAGAGACAGACACACACACACACACACACACACACACACACACACACACACACAGAGAGAGAGAGAGAGAGAGAGAGAGAGAGAGAGAGAGAGAGANAGAGAGAGAGAGAGAGAGAGAGAGAGAGAGAGAGAGAGAGAGAGAGAGAGAGAGAGAGAGAGAGAGAGAGAGACGGGTCTCGCCAAATTCTGGCACAAAACACGACGCATATGGCTGTCGCTCCAAGGCCTGCCCTTGGACCCCTCGAACAATTCAGTAGTCCAGGGGCGGGCAAAATCCAACATCGGGGAAAATTTTGCCAAGTTCACATTGTACTAATAAACTTTTCCCACGTGAGTCGTGACCATTGCTGTTTTTCTCGGCTCCTTTTTCTTTCTTTTTCTTTCTTTTTCTTTCTTTTTCTTTCTTTTTCTTTCTTTTTCTTCTTTTTCTTTCTTTTTCCTCCCCCCTGTCTAGCTCAGTCGAAGATCTTCAGACAGTACCCTCGCCAACTGTTGACAATGCTCGAGGGTTCGCCACAGCACAGCACAGCACAGCACAGCACAGCACAGCACAGCACAGCACAGCACAGCACAGCACAGCACAGCACAGGAAGCACTGACACCTGAACACACACAGTAGACATATAGGTCTCCTCAACCGCTGTTTTCGAGATTGTAAGGATGATCAAGACAGCACATCGCCGCTCAGAGGGCAGCCAACAACCACCAGGCCAACGGTCAGTGAGATGGGAGAGCACACCTTTCATCCACTCTCTCTTCCAAGTTTCCTGCAAAGCCATCAAGCACATGCGAACAAAATGGTTCAGCGTCCGTCTGTCTGTCGCATCATAAAGGTGGCGGCAACAGCAATGCTGGACAGATCGCTTAGACACTGATAACAAGCAATATTCACAGAGGAGGGCAAAGAGGCTTGGGCGGGGGGGGGGGGGGGGGGGGGGGGGGGGGGGGGAGGGGAGAAAAATCTCCTTCCCTAGAAATCAAGGAGAAGACAATTTGGTTGAGACCCAGAGTGACCAAGAGTTTTGTTTTTATTTTTACTTCTTGGCTTGGGTAGCCTGTTAGATGACAACAACAGAGAACACAAAGAACATGACAAAGACACAAGTTCTCTTTGAACTTTGAAGTCCCGCACGGAGTGAAATCAAGGTAGGAATGAAAAGAGTACTAGGGGCTCGCTCCACTCCATAACATTCTACATGTATCTGGAGCTGGTCATCCACCCAATACATTCAAAATGTTGGATCACTCCAAACGGATCGGGTCCAACGCGCAGTTTAGATACGTGTCGAATGTTCATAATGGAGCGAGGCCCATAGAGTAAAGTGAAATAGGTTGGGCAAGCACACAATGGTAAAGACAACAAGTCCTTGGAAGACAACGGCGGCATAAAGGAGTAACCAGAGAGGCTGAGAAAGGGAGGTTAAGGAGAAGGAGAAAGTGGCGGAGGTGCAGACGGAGAAGAAGGTGGAAGAGGAGGAGGAGGAGGAGAACGTGGAGGAGAGGGAGGAGGAGGCGGTGAAGGAGGAGAAGAGGAGGAGGAGGAAAAGAGAGAGGATGTAAGAGAGGAAAAGCAAGCACAGTGAGGAGAGGGATATCTTCAAAAGGCGAAGAAGAGGAGGTAGCATTGATGACCAGACTGAAAGGAACACTGAAGAGTATGTTGAGAGGTCAGCTTGACCAGCAGGACATAAGCACTGGCTGGCACCGGCTGGAGATATGGCTTTCCTCTTGTTCTTATCCAGACGAAAGGGTATACAACATCTATGACATCGAAGCGAATCTGGAGTTCAACAAACATACCCAAGAAAAGTGTGGCGGCATTGTTTCTTGCCATTTGTCCAACAGCCACCAAGAGACAGGACTTCCCAAAACAGCAGCTACGCCAAAAATAGGTCGCGATGCTCTGTGTTTCAAATTTCCATCCAAAAGTACATTACAATGACAAGGCGTCTGCACTTTGCTGTCTGGCTTCCCTTTGCTTCCGACCGTTCACCTCGCATCAAGCTCTGCTGGACGAAAAGGAAGAATGCGGCCACACCCACAGCCGCCAGTTAAAGGTGAAAATTGGTTCAGACAGATTCTTTATTTACCAGTCAAATTTGTCCGAACACAAATTGCTCAACCACGTCCTCATTGCCCCTTCCAAGAAAGACAATTGTCATATATATGCCACCATTCAAATTGTTTTCATATATATGCCACCATTCTTTTCTCTGCTTACCTGCCTGCCTCCCTGCCTCCCTGTCTCTCTCTCTCTCTATCNCTCTCTCTCTCTCTCTCTCTCTCTCTCTCTCTCTCACACACACACACACACACACACACACACACACACACACATTGTCCGTGTCGGAGGTTTTGGAGCACTCACACTAATCGTTTTCACCCTGTCTTCTCTTCCAGTCTAGACTCACAGTGCACATTTGCAGTAGCTGTTTGTAGAAGGCTGAGTTCAGCCCCACATTCATGGGAACGATTGCCCCCAACCACAATGGCATTTGTGTAATTCTCAAACGAGTCGAGCAAACACAAAATTATGGCTTTTGACCTTATTATTATTATTATTATTTTATATTATTATTATTATTTTATATTATTATAACAAGAAGCAGTTTCTGACATAGCCCCAAAGCTCCACATTGAGCTGAATTTGACTCTCTCTCTGCTGGAAAAAATTTCGAGGAAAAGAATACAAAACAGGACAGATCGACAATATGAATCTCTTCAACGGCTTCAAGGAGGAAAGGACAGGAGAAGAGAGGAGAAGGAGAGAGGAGAAGGGAGGAGGGGAAAAAACAGAAAAGAAAAGTTGGTGCTCTACCAGACGCAGCTGACGATTCTCTGGAAGCGGCGAAAAAAGACCTCAAGGGGAGTACTGCTATAGGCAGCCATAGACCACTTCCATATATGGTAAGCCAGGGACTGCCTGTCATACGGCCGTTTTCATTCCTAATCAGGAAATCGTGAGAGAGCCTCTATTCCACCATTCTCCTGTCTTGCACGACTTAGAGGAATATGGATATGGTGGAATGGAAGCTCGCTCACGACTTCCTGATTAGGAATGAAAACGGCCGCTTTCGAATCTCTGGTCCGAGCCCTCTGTACCTTGGCTACCCGTCTTCACCCGAATAGAACGCCCGGTTATTACAGCCGCATTTGGCACAACTTTCAGTCCAGATGCAGCGATAATTACCGCGCGTTTTATTCGGCTGAACAGGGTAAGCTCTGGGCAGCAGAGACCTCTTGCAGCTTGGCCTTACTACTTTAGGATCATTCTCGTCTTGTGTTCGACTAAGAGGAGTGTGGTGTGGATATGGCAGACTGCGACCTCCTCTTCGTCGTCGTATAAAGGAGAGATATTAGAACCTTCCTGTATAATGGATCTCCTAATAGATCTCTTCCTTTATAAGGAGAGCTAAGGGAGAGCTATTATACCTGGACCTGGTTGGTCACTGATACCTCCTGCCTTGGAATAGACTACCGTCTTCCCCCGAACACAACGCACCCTCATTTTGGCTGCTGTACCTGACCGGAAATTGAGCTTGTATACATTCATTTTCAGGGTGCGATATGTTCGGGGGAAGACATTAGGAAGTGCTTTTGCCTCAGATGTCGTGCTGGTCCGATGGCAAACTCCCGTGGCTCCAATGTTTTGACGGAGCGAAATCTTGAAGAGTTAATACTAATCAACGCTGTCGTGAGAGAACCAATCAACGCTGTCGAGCGAGAACCAATCAACGCTGTCGTGAGAGAACCTATCAACCAACGCTGTCGTGAGAGAACCTATCAACGCTGTCGAGAGACACCCAATCAACGCTGTCGAGCGAGAACCAATCAACGCTGTCGAGAGAGAGCCAATCCTGGTCGAGAGAGAACCAATCAATGCTGTCGTGAGTTGGCTGATTGGTATCTGGCAGTTAATCATTGTCGAGTGAGACGCAATCAACGATCAATGATCATGTCGGAATATATACTCTAGGGGTGCACGGGATGCTGTTTGGTCCCATTCCTTTTTTTCTTTTTCTTTCTTTTTTTTTCTTTTTCTTTCTTTTTTTCTTTTTTTTTTCTTTTATTTTTTTGTTTAGTCCCATTCCATTCTGCAGATATGTCAGAAATTATAAATCCACTAACTTCCGTCGTCAATCTTTTTTTTTTTTTTTCCCCTACTTCCGTCGTTATTCTAAGTGTCCCATTTGACATTATAGTTCCTATACTATCGTTGTTTAACTTACTACAGTAAAACGCCTCTCCCGCTCCAACAACAAAAAAAAAAAGCACGCCTCACGCCTCCCTCCCTCACGAAACCAACTGCTGAGAGACGCCCACGTCGACCCCACTCTCTCTCTCTCTCTCTCTCTCTCTCTCTCTCTCTCTCTCTCTCTCTCTCTCTCTCTCTCTCTCTCTCTCTCTCTCTCAATTTTCTTGCTTTCAATTCGTCCAATGGCCATGCTACATTCAGGGTGGTGTCCCACATCCAACCGGGCAGGCATGATGAGCCAAGGTAAGGGTATTTCTGTGATATACCCTGTCGTGATGAGCCAAGGTAAGGGTATTTCTGGGATATACCATGACTCCTCGTCTGCCTGCAGTGGACGTAGGTGTTATGCTCTCTCCGTCAGTCTGCTCTTTCTCCTCCTCCTCCTCCTCCTCCTCCTCCTCCTCCTCCTCCTCCATGTCCTTGTCTTTTCAATTGCGATTTCGATAAACTCGAAATTTTCTACAAACCGCACGACAAAATTGATTGAAAAAAAAAATCAAAAATTGATTGCACTTCGTTTCTTTTTTGTTTTCTTTTCTTTTTTTGCTGGGTTGGGGGTGGGGGCGGGGTGCGGGAGCTGCATTGCGCTATTCAGGGCGTCGGCTAAGTGCATACTGGCCGTGATCACAGTCAGATGCATCTCCTGGCGTCTTAACAAATGAGGATCCCCATCCTCCCCCTTTCCTCACAACCCCCCCCGGCCTCCTCCCTCCCCTCTCACAAAACTACCCCAGCACTTGCAGTCCTTTTTTTTTCTTTTTTCAAGTCGTTTAAACAAAATCCGTTTTAACGCACTGAAAATAATCGAATATTAATTATATTATTATTTTTTCTCTCTGTTCTTGTTTACCATCTACCACCTCCGGAACACATTATGCCTGCTCACTAGGGGGGAAAGGGGGGGGGGGGGGGGAGAGGCAGGAGGAGGAGGAAAAGAGGGAAAGGGAAGACAAGGCGGAGAGGGGGAAAGGGAGAAGGGCGGAAAAGAAAAGAGGAGGAGGCAAAATTTTCAATCGATAGTGCTCTCCTTTTAGACGCCGCTGCTCTTTTTTTTTTTTTTCACGAATCTGTAATGTCTTCGTCCCATGTGCAAAGGATCTTTTTTTTTTTTTTCCCTTTTTTTCCCTTTTTTTCGTTTTGTTTCCCTTTTTTTTCGTTTTTTTCCTTTTTTTTCCCTTTTTTTTTTTTGGCATCTTCATCAATCTGTGGCTATGAGTGATCTTGTCTCTGTCGCCCGCAAACAGTCCGATTGAGTTACCGTGGCTGTCCCCCTCCTCCTGGGACGCGGTCCCTCACACAAAGATGCTTAGGATTGGATTGAACGCCTGAATCCGGACGTATTTGTGGAGAGGTGCAGAAATTCGCGATTGATCTGCATTTCTGCATTTTTTCTCAAAACCCATCCAAATTCAGGCGCTTAATTTATATACTGGTATTAATCCGTTTTGCTAGTGGGACCTCGATCCTGAATAGTCGGGCAGAAATATGATGAAGAACATCGATCTGAAAGACATTCCAGCCTTTTGTTTTTCTTTTGCTTTTCAACGCCAAAAAGAAGGGTCCCTCCTGGCTACCCGTCTTCCCCCGAACACAACGCACCCCGATGTGGACTGTACGCGAGCTATCTTTCCGGGCAGGTGCAGCCAAAATGAGGGTGCGTTGTGTTCGGGGGAAGACGGTAGCTGAGGAAGTATTTGCATCTGCTTTCCAGCTCGCGTCAGGTGTTAGGACCCTGGGCAACGTTCCCCCCGGGATATGCTGAGGCGAAAAATCTGGAGGCCGGGAATCCCACCCATAACCCCAGCGTCGCCTGCTAAGCTATAGTAGAGTATAGAGCTATAGCTAGTGGGAGGCATGTTGAGAGACGAATATAGATTAGCTTTTTTTTTTTTTTTTTTTTTTTAAAGGAGGGGTAGCTAACCCATAACCCACTCACATTGTTGGTGTTATTCTATACATCTGATTCCCTGCAGATCGGAACCCGTGATCTGTTCATCATCAGGTTCATGCGTGTTGTGTGTACGATTAAGACAATTCAAAAAAAAAAAAAAAAAAACAGGCAAGGAGTCTCTTTTCTTTTTTTCGCTCTCTTTTACCTTTCCTATCCGATAGACAACAACGGGCTATTGAAAAAA